GGTGGGGGGGTGGTGGTGGTGGTGGTGGTGGTGGTGGTGGTGGCGGCGGCGGCGGCGGCGGCGGCGGCGGCGGCGGCGGCGTTAGTAGTAGCAGGGTTAATGGCAGTGCTAGAGGATAGAAGTGGTGGCAGTGCAGTGGTGGTGACGTAGCGGTTGTAAATGTTGCAGCGCGTGAAGCTTTGCAACAGATGTGATGGCTCTCCAAAAGGCATCTCGGAGACCTGCAATTGCTTTAGACTCACAGCTCATGGCTTAGGCCAGGGAATTGTGGAGGTTCGCAACATTCTGGGTTTGGTCTTATCATGATCCTTTTGGGGTACCACATGTTTAAAAAAACACCGACGTCCTCTTGAGGTTCCGGTACAGGGTTAAGATGAGAGCCAGGGCATGGGGAGGAACATGCTGAATGATGGGACGGTGTAGTTCCGACGTAGAGCAGCAGTAGATTTGCCCTTGTGTCCCCAAAAGAGCGCCTAGGGCTCCAGCGACCTAAATAATGGGAACTGGGTTCTAAATGCCCTATAGTTACATAGCCCAGTAGCCGACTATACAGGGAACTGGGAGCCCCAGGGAGGTAATATTTGGGTTTAACATGCAAACCTGAACAGGATCTGGTGACTGCGGATCCCTGTAGAGTAGGTTTCATTGGAAGATCTACCAGACGTCGGGTGGCAGCTGCTCAGGGACCTTAGACATCCACAGAAAACCCCAACCGGAAACCCGAAACCCCTTAAGCGCAATGCAGCTGCAGCGGCTCATGCTGAGCGATGGAACTCTCTGCTTGATTGGAAGCTGCTAGTGACGTACATCCTGGTGCAGGTGGTGCCTAGCAGCTGAACTCCCAAAGGCGAAACCTCCGATCTGAGGGTTGGATCATGACGAACAAGGGCAGGCTTCTCAAAAGTGTCTCCGTATATCTAGTCCTCAAGAGGGACGCCATCAATCAGTCATCCCCTGAACAAGTATGCCAATATAGTTTCCATTTTTTTCCGTTATCCCAATATAACCCCAATATTATCCCAGCACTATCCCAATATATACCCTAGTAGTATAGTATATCCCTTGGATCTGTGAGGATACCCCGGTTGTTCAGAGCCCTGCCAGGCTGGAAACCAGCTTGGTCTCTATGAGTGCGCGGTGCTTGGCAGTGGGTTTCAATTCAGACCCTAAGGGTCTAAGGACCCAAATGATAGGGTTTTAGGGCCCAAATACCATTACTATCTTAGTATTTGGGCCCTAAAACCCTATTATTTGGGTCCTTGGACCCTTAGGGAAAAGCTTCGGTCTAACGATGTT